CTATGTTTGGGTTGTCTATCTTCTTAAGTACGTAGGAAACAACTCTGGCATCTGAGCATGTTCAGAAATATACTCCAGACATGCATCAAGCTATGGACCCCCTAACACGTTCTTCCATTATCCAGGAATGCTGGCTGGTGCTGGCGTAATCACGTAGCTGTGGAGTCCATGGGAAGGGAGAACCTGCTCTGCTCCAGAGGCAGCCTTGGCAGGCTCTCATTCTCCAGCAAGGTCATCAAGCAAAGGGGAAGTTAGGAGCTTGGTGAGAGACCAGGGGGCTGCTATGAAAAGCGATAAGCATTTGCGAAGTAATCCTAAAGGGGCAAGTTGGAAGAAACGGGGCTTACTACCCTGGATAACATCTATTAAGTACTCAGAAGGGACTGGGCTGGGCAAGTTTTGTCCTGGGTGGTGAGGACGCGGGTATCGCATGACACACAGGACCCACAAAGATCATGGCAAAGCATTATATGGTTTCTAAGCACTCTGTGTATGTTTCTAAAGAGATTTGGTCCGTCAAACTTTGGAATGTGTGTCAAAAGGAAATTACAAGTGACATTTTCTTACTTCCCTCCCCTAAATCAAGGATGATCAGATATAATTCAGGTTAGAGTGATGAACAAGCCTCCGAAGAACCTGGGGTTTCAGTTCAACACTCGGGTCACTCTTAACTTTGTAATTCCTTGACATGAGAATCTGCCATTAAAACAAAAATGTGTTTGTGTTTGTGTGTGTGTGTTTGTGTGTGTGTTTGTGTGTGTATGTGTGTTTGTGTGTGTATGTGTGTGTGCATGTGTGTTTGTATGTGTATGTGTGTTTGTGTGTGTATGAGTGCTTGTGCGTATGTGTGTATATGTGTGTGTGTATGTGTGTTTGTGTGTGTGTATGTGTGTTTGTGTGTAGTGGAGGCTGTGGCTCCCCCTTCCTTCCTAGGAAAATGAATTCAAACATATCTTAGGAACGTTTTTCCAAGGAGAGCTGTAGTTTTGTTTGAAGACACACCTTAGATGCTCCATTCTTGCAGAAAAGCATGGTTTGATATGGCCTATGCCTCAGTTTCTATACCATCATCTGTGCAGTAAGAGTATAGATGGCACTGCCTCCAATGGGATCACTGAAGAAGCAAGCTGAGATCAGCCAGAGATGGAGGAATCACATGAACATCATCTGCTGTCTCTAAGAGCGTTCACATCTCTTTCTTCTGAGTACTTGGCTTCCTACTCTATTACAGAGGATGAAAAAGAGAAAGTCACGTGTTCTCCAAGTTCAATACGTGACTCTGGTGCAGTTTGACTTTTTTAACTGAGAAAATAAATTAAGTTTCTAATGATAGGCACAAAAATTCAGTTTATTTCCAAAGATTTCTATGAAGGCAAATGCCAAAACATGGCTGCATTGCAAGGAAGTTCCAGGAAAGTGTCTCTAAAAGCTCCATGTCTAGTCTATTTGCTCAGGAGTAAATTAAGAAAGAATAAAATTTTATTTTTATCTCCCTGAGTGTCAGAGAATAATGTGTTTTGGAGCAGACTCTAAATGCTTCAGAACTTATATTTTTTTCTAGAGTTTTCCATTTTCTCTTATATATTTTGAGGCTCCAGTCACATATAATGATACATTTCTACAGAACTTATGTCTGCTGAAGTTACCTGAAGCTAAAACTGATTGCAAAGTCAAGCAAACATTACTTTCCTCTTTGTTTATACACAAATTCTGGTGGTGGGCTGTCACTACTGGCCCCAGCCAATAGTGACTGGCATGGGGGCCAGTCACTCTGGTCACCTTTGAGAATCTCTGCTGGAGTGACATCAAGCACTCCCACCTGCCTCCACCTGCAGCACTCCTTAGAGAGCTTCAACCACAACATGAAACAGTAAGTGGCAAACTAGGACCAAGACAACTGAATAGAGATGGGATGAGAACAACAATCTGAAAAGTAGCACACATCTTTCTGCATGAAGGATAGTGCCCGTAATGTGACTGAAATGTCACAGCCTTCGTAAGACCAGATTCCTCCACAGACAAGCACCACTGGAGTCATTTTAGAGGTTAGTGACTGATTTTGTTTTATTTATTTATTTTTTTGAGACAGAATCTCACTCTGTTGCCCAGGCTGGAGTGCAGTGGCACAATCTCAGCTCACTGCAATCTCTGCCTCCCAGGTTCAAGCCACCCTGTCTCAGCCTCCCAAGTAGTTGGGATTACAGGCGTGCGCCACCACGCATACCTGTACTTTTAGTAGAGACAGGGTTTCACTATATTCGTCAGGCTGGTCTGGAACTCCTAACTTCACGTGATCCACCTGCCTCAGCCCCTCAAAGTGTTGGAATGAAGGCGTGAGCCACCGTGCCCGGCCTTCTGTTTGTTTTAAATAGATCACATGGTTTCCAATGATTTTCCTAGTATGGAGTTTATTAATCTCTTATTGAGAATTCTGGGTTTTTAATAACAACCAGGCATCTTAGTGTCGTGAAACTGCTTAAAAAGTGACCAGAGGGATTGTTTGATAATGCTAGGTGTTCCCTATCCTTGTTCAGGTATGAATAGTTATTGTTAGATTCAACCATTTTACTCATCTTTTTTTTCCCCCACTTATTTATTTTATTGCATTTTAGGTTTGGGGGTACATGTGAAGAACACGCAAGATTGTTGCATAGGTACACACGTGGCAGTGTGATTTGCTGCCTTCCTCCCCATCGCCTACATCTGGCATCTCTCCCCTTGCTATCTCATTGTCTTGCATTCCTGAGCACAGGGCAGTGCCATCCTGATTGTAATTTAAAGAGACATCTTAGTCAACACTATGGTTGAGGGCACGGGAATTAGGTGAGAAAAGGACTTTTAATAAGTATTTATTGGCTTTAGTTGAATTCTAAGTCATAGGACTTCAGAGCAATGTTCACATGAGCTATGCTTACCAATTCACCTCGAGTATAGATATACATGCATACTGTAACTGAGCGTAAGCCGCAGAGAAGAAGCCCAGAGGCCAACTTTCTAATTTGTAGCTCTGACAGCCCATGTATGATCTGACTGTGTGTCAGAATCTCTGTCAGCAGGTAAGGAAACTAACAGCATATAAATAGTGCACTAGGCTTTTTCCCTTGATACATTTTGAAGAATGAAGAATGTCCCATCAGGTGAGCAAACGGATGATGATATGAAGGCACAAAGAGTACATCTTGTCTCTATTCTGGAAGTTTATCCCAGGAACCTGCTTTCATTGAGAGTTTGAAGTTTGAAGTGAAGTAGGGTGAAACAGCTCTAAAGACAATTAGGAAAAAAGCAAAACAAAAAACAGGGAACACGAAGCCTCTCTGAGAGTCTGAGGGCAGTATGCTAGCAGGGATCCTAAACTTGAAAACTTGATTGTATTAGTGCAATCCTCTGCCAATTAGCTAAACTTCTCTTCTTTGGTACTCAATGTTTTTAAACTTCGAATGTTGGTAAATAGAATATTTTTGGAATAGGTTTCATCAGCTAAGTTGGCAGTTTATCTTATTTATTATATTCAGTGTCTTACTGTTTCTACTTCTTTTACATCCAAAAAGTGTTTGAGTTGGTACATTTAGTTATAAAGGCATTTAACATTTTAAATTAAGACACAAGAAGATCTAAATGGTACTTGAGATGCCCTTGAGAGAAGCTTCTCATTCCTTGTATTTGTAGATACCTTATATATTTATAAATTAAACCCTTTGCATATTTAAGCCAGATAAAAATACTGAGGTACAATGTCTCTCATTAGAAAAAAATGCAATTATTCTACCTAGTTATGTTTTTAGAACAGCTTGGCATTTAAAATAATTGAAGAATATGTAATTTGCTAATAAGTAATGGACAGTTCCCTTGGAGGTATGGTCACTGTTTTATAAGTTACTATTTCAGAAGGGTTTCATGAATGCAAAGATGATAGCTGGGAAGCAGAGAGGAATCACTCCAGAATGACACCACCCTACTTAACACCCATAATACTTAATAGTAACAACAATTAGGCCTCACAAATTAAGTCAACTTATCGAATTCCTATTGGGTGAGCTAAAGACAGGACATTTATGTGTAGTGATTTTTCCTCATACTCATTCCCCTTCCACAACCATGTACCCAAATGAACATCAGAGCAACATATTATACTGTAAAGGATTAAATGATATTTCAGTTTATGCCTTTATTTCTTGTCTCTTTTCTCCAAGTGATAATTGAGACCTCGTTTACCATGCATGAACACTTACATTCCCTTTCCGAGAACATTTCTGATATTGTTGATATAAGAGAGAAAAGTCATTTATTGAAGGGTTGCCTTATTAATCTGCAGCTTTTGTTAAATATCTTGATTATATGGCCAGTCAATTTGTCTCTATAGCCTAAGAAAGAGGAAAGACTAGCCGCCATACTCAATCCAAATGAGTTAGGATATGAATATTTAAAAGGACATCAATATTCAACAGTGCCTTACAATCATGCTCTAAGCTAAATAAAAATAAAGCAACCAAAAATATTACAGTATAATAGGATCAGAGCTAAGAGATATGTACAAATCCATTGACAACATCTGTGCAAGTGTTGTGGACAAAACGTTTAAAAAGAAATCTACATAAAACAAAGTAGATAAATTTATCAAATATTGATAAATTTTGAGACGGTATAAAAGTACACAAAACATGAAAGAGAGAAAGAATTAAAAAAATAATCACTAAAGCCAATACATATAGTACAAGTTTACTACATTTATATTACAGAATGATGGAAACCAGAGACAAAAACGATTTGATAACAAACAGCAAAGAAAGTTTTACCACCAATCACAAGGAAGAAAGACATTCTTTTTCAGATGAAAACACAGACTGCCAGAACGCATCCCCCTTGCCTCCCAACCCATACACACATAGAAAAATAAAAGCAAATGCAAAAGTTGTCTACAGCCACAGGACAGACAGAGGTGGGGAGCATTTGGCAAGGTGCATCACAGGAAGTCAATCACGATTGGCTAACGATGATGGTACCTGGCTCTGTTGCAGGTCAGCAGTTTGCCTGAGAGGAGTGACTGACGGAGGAGGCACACCTGATGTCGACGCAGACCGGCCTAATTTGCAGCTTACTTTAGGCTCTGGAAACAAGGGGAAAAAGACACAATATTAGCTGACTGACATGTGCAGTAATGAGATGGCTTTTCAGTCTCCCTGTTTGTTTTGCTACTTGTTCTTGAAATACACAAAATGCTCCTGATGTTTGCTAGTAATTAGCAGGTGACAAAACACTTTCAAAATAGTTGACTCTGAAAGGAGCTTTATTCCCAGATGGGCTTCTGGGGTACAAATCTCAGGAGGAAGGCCTTGTGCCCTCCTACATTTTAACCCACTTAGGGTTGGTTTCTATGGAGTCGCCCCTGGAGCCACAACAACCCATTTGGGAAACAAACAAGTACCATGACTATTTTCAGTGTTTCACTTTTAGCTTTGGTCAGTAGGATTTCTGTGTTCTAAGATGTTTCATTCCCCTTCTCCAAAGGGTCTGCTTTCCTTCCTTCCTTCCTTCCATGAAAACTATCATCATGTTTTCAATGTAACATTTCTTCAACTTACCTTGATTTGCATTAAATTTTATGACTATCTTCCAAGACCTTTGCTATCTTTCATATTATTTTTCCAAGTTCAAAAGCTTTCTTCTACCTCATGTCTAATTTGAGGAGCCCAAATTAGCTGCCTACTTCACTGACAGGATGCTTTAGAGATCACAATTTGAGGACTGAAAGAGTTCCCTTGATCCAAGAAGTACAGGAGATATGGGAGGTAGAGATGATGAATTTAAAGACGCATTTGAAGATATTTGATAAAGGAAAAAGAAGCCATGGAAAGAAAAATGGACATCTGTACTTTTATCACAAACTTCAAGGTCAGCTGTTGGTTTTTGAGTGCCTAGTACATTCCAGCTTCTGTGAGGAATGTACTAGGCACTCAAAAATAATATTATAAT